CAACCAAGCTTACAGTAGGAAGCTGGAAGACACACTGTTTAATCTTGCAAAGGGGTAAAACACATTATTGAATATTTTCAGTGTTCAGATATATTTGAAAATCATCAGGGTTGTTTTTTTTTTACTTCATTAAATAGATTTGTCTTGCATAGTAGGATTAAAAAAAAACAAAATCAGTGGGTGCATCTATATGTACAGTTCAGGCACAATAAACTTATTGCTTCCAGGTGGCACGCCTTCATGCGTACCTGGGGCTGCAGCAGTTGAACCAGGCTGAAGCTGGCAGGGCCCCCCGAGGGTCAGCCTGCCAGCCTGGGGCTGCCCCTCCTGGCACAACATGCTGTGGTGGTGTTGGCTGGGGCATGAGGGTGCTTCACTGTGGGGCTGGCCAGCAGGCAGCTCCCTCATTAAAGCACCCTTGTGCCCCAGCCAGCCGCGGCAGTATCTGCATATACATTGCTGCATTTTCACTCCACAGCAGGATAGTACTTGTATTTATAAATACTGTCCTGTTCTGGAGTAAATTAGCTTACTCCAGCCTAATAGGGGCACATATGTAGACACCATGACATTTACTGCACAGCTAATTAGTCAGATGCACAGTAAAAGGCTTGTGTAGATGCATCCAAGGTGTCCTAGACTGTTCAGCATTTTTTGCTTTCTTTATTTTTAAACTTATTATAAACTTATTTAAACTTAATTCAAGTTTGTTTCCAGAACTAGGCTAGGCAAGAAGTCTATAAACTTCCCCATTTTGGAAGGCATTATGCCTCTGATACCTACTTCCCTCTTCTCACTCCTTAGTGGGGAAATTAATTACTACAGCTCTTGAAAGAGTTTAACTGGGTTTTCAATTTACATTTGCAGATAATTTTATGTAAGTCTGGTCAGTTTGATGGAAGATTAGCTTTAAATATTATATTCTGTTTTAACAGTTTCTTAGTCTTTTAAAACTCCTGGGTGATATTAAGAAAAGATTCCTTTGAGGGTCCTTTGCTTCTGCAGTCCCCTGATGTTTGTAAATTAATTCTCAATTTATGTATTAACTCTCCTTTCCTATTCTTCGTCTCCCCCACAACCTTTCTCTTTTGATTAAACAGGACAGCTATCAGTATTTTTAAAGGTATTAAACATTTTTTTGGAAACCTTTTGAACTATCGCTTGACCAAGAGGATCATTGGCTGTGGAAGCTGGGTAAGAATTCCCTCCTCTCCTCCTCCCCACCCCCACAACTTTGGAAAAAATTTGTAGTAGCAAAAGCAGCAATTGAAGTTTGTACTTTCTTGCTTCCCTTACATACTTAGCTGTATGTAATTCCATGAGTTAAGCATGTAATCTGACTCCAAGTTTGGACTTAATTCCTTTAGTCTGTGTTTTCTACTCAGCAGTTTACATGGAAAATTCCCTTTCATCTGGTAGAAAAAATATTTGCAATATCTTGAGGACATCAGCTAAATCCTACTGGATTCATCCAGACAGAACCTGCCTGGAGTTGAATAGGAGTGTTTTTACATGCGGACAAAAGTGTCTGTCCAGAATTGTTTTACATGAAACAAGGGAAATGGCAGTATAAAATGAAGCATGAGTCTATTCTAGATAAAATAAGTGAGGCTGCTATTTTCCCTTGTACTTCATAGTCAAAAGAAATATCAAGGACTTTACAAAGATTAAGTACGTTTGCCATTGAAATCCAGCTATCACTGGTAATTCAGCAATGCACTTAGTTAAAACTAGAACCCAGGACTCAAGATTTTCAGCTTCTTTGCTTTAAGGGTTGGGCAATACCTTCACCTTAAAACACTTATTTGTGTATCTTTTATGGTCTGCTGGTTTTCCTTTTTTTTTTTTTTTT